ACAGTCAGAGCGAGGGCAGTTCGGGAGACTGACTCCGGCTCCCTCCGTAGCACGTGACCGTACCAACGGAGGCGTCCGTCCCGTGCCTTCTCCTGTATGGGCGCTACGCCTAGGCGGGCGCGTACATCGTCATTGCGTTGCCTGTCTAGCAGTGTCAGTCCGAGTGTCCACCGCAGCATCCTCATCTCCATGCCGTGAAGGGCACGCTCGGTGGTAGCGGTAGTGGGCCAGCATTCTGTGCTGTACAGTGCTACTGGCCTTACGACAGTGCGGTAGATCTTGCCCTTGAGACGTGTTGGCATACGCCTGTCACAAAGGACTCCTGTCACTTCCCGCCACTTGAGCCACCCTGCGTTGACTCTCGCGGATACTGCTGGCTTGATCGTACCGTCACAGCTGAGGGTTGACCCCAGGTATTTGAATTGCGAGACCTTCTCGAGGGGTGTGCCCCCGATGGTAACGGTACCTGGTGTCTGTTCCCCGTGTTCGAGGTAGACAGTCTTCGCAATGTTCAGTCGCAGACCGTATCGGTCCAGTGCGTCCTTCCACTGCTGTGTACGCAGTTCCACTCCCTGCCTGCTTGTATCGCACAAAACTACGTCATCCGCGTACATGAGGCACCATGGGTGGGCTGTAGGGATGTCGCGAGTGATTGTGTTGAATACGAGTATGAACAGGAGGGGTGACAGAGCAGAGCCTTGATGGACTCCAACTGTCACTGGGAATGGGTCGGACACGCCGGCTGGGCATCTCACAACACTCATGGGCGAGTGGTACATCATCTTGACCCATTTGATGTATTCTTCGGGAACGCCGTGGTCTCTGAGAGCGAACTCAATCAGGGCGTGAGGGACTCTGTCAAATGCCTTTTCCAGATCGAGGAATGTGCAGTGCAGTGTGCGCCGCACTTCCTGGTGTCGCTCGAGGAGCATACGGAGGGCGAAGATGCCATCGGTGGTACTGACACTAGGGTTTGAAAATCGAAGTTCTTCGGGAACCGAAGAACGACGAGCAAAAAATCCCTCCGAACTTCGAGGAGACTCAATTTCGAACGAAGACTTCGATTTGCGCTACAAACTTCGAAAAGTGTACGAAGTCTTCGAAAGGTGTGTACAGTTTTCGCACAACACGCCGCAAAAACGGCGTGTTCTGACGCAAATCGCGCGCAAGTCGGGTTACGGTAATTGGAATTTCACACCGCGCGTTCTGCACATTTCTTCGTTCGAAGACTTCGATCGAAG